AGCTGATAAAGAGCGTATCGCCGACCCCATTTAAAATAGGATAGGTAACGAATGTTTTGTTTTGTTTTCCTAATTCCCAACATAAGCCATTATGATGATTATTATGTCCTTGATCTAATTTGTCAATTAAGCGATGTCATTTCTCTCTATCGGTATCTTATTTTGGTTGTACATAATGTAAATAACAATAATAAAAGCGTCATGACAGTTTGAGCAAGCACGTGAATATTTAAGAGCTGGCGAATATCCAGAGAGCTGAAAATTCTAATATTAGTTCGGGCGTACACAACAAGCCCGGAGGGAATGGGCACATGACCGGCGAACTGTGATGACCAGTCTCATGACTTCCACGCGTCCTGACCACATCAGAAATAATAACTACCACAAAAAATAGTTCCACCAAAGTGAATTTATTTTAAACTTTATTGTGTTAACATAATGATTGAAAATTCTCTAGATTTTCGTCTCCTTGATACTGTGTCTTTACTTCTATTCCGGCTCGGATAATTAAATCAAAGCATAAAAAAGGTGTTTTTTAAAGCTTAGTATTCAGACATTGCGTTGGTCTACCCTGATTATATGAAGTGTTTATTTTTTATCTAAATGACAGTTGATTAAATGTCACGACGAGCAAACAACCAATTGCGTTAATGTTTGTAAGCGTCGTTAGTGATATAATATTACTGTAAACATAGTTGCTGCACTTTTTGTATATTCTTTCTTTTTGTATATAATAAATTCCTTGACACATTGCCATGGTGACGTTCAGTCCTTTTTATTAATAGATCACCGAAAAAACAAGTCTATTTTTTAAATTAAACTTTGTTGACAACTGTAATATTCCACTATAAATTCTAATTATACTATTTCTGTTGTAATAAAAATGGTCAACAAAAGTGTTATGTTTTTAAAAACTTTAGCCTGCATTATTAATTTAATCTCATATAAAGCAAATTTTACTGTGTATACCAACGTTTAAAAAAATTAGGACTTTTCCTTTCACAAAGTGCTATTTTAAATTTAATAAAAAAACGTTATACTTAAAATTTGAAGGCCACAAATAATTTACTGCAGCTTAACAAGAGCAAGTAACAATCCCAAAGGTCATTCCCCTGTTGTCGTATACCAGAACAAATTTAAATAAACGAAATCTTTTTGGTACAATCCAGTAGAATCCAACTGACTTACCAGTTAGATCTAGAGTGCAATGTTTGAATATTTTCAACCTTATTGCAACACTATAAAGTTGAATATTCCAAGATTAATGTTGTACAAATGAGTCTTCTTGTAATGTGACCATGTATTATTTTAAAGTGGAACACCTTGAATTTTTGTGATAAACAAATTTTAATTTCTTATGATTTGAGACATTCACACGATGTAACAAGTATATTTTCTTTGTTATCATTATTATTTTTAAATATTCAAGTACACCAAAAGCTACCTATTTTTCTACAAACTTGCTATATTAATATATAGTTATTGCCGTATAGTTCTGATTGATATGAAAATCCCTTATTATTGTACATTATATTGTTAGTCATATCATGATTATATTAAGGGGACTGTCCCGCATCCCGGAAGACGAATTGTCATATTAGTTACATAACACCATTAATGAAAAGACAAATTTGTAGTACAATTGTATTACTTCCGTCACACTTGTACCATTATAGAATAGCCTTGGATTTGTTTATAGTGTTATCAACATGTATTAAAATGACCTTTTGCCTTGTTTCTAATCTGATAATAGCTGTGAGTTCTTAAAACATGTCAATTAAGGACTTTAACTGTCTTATCAGTTGTTTACTAAAATGACTTATTCAATTTAGATATTTTTTTCACACTCATAATATGCAATTTGTGTTTATTTTTGGCTCAGACGTATTTCTCGCTTATATAACTGAGTAAATAATGCTTTTATGTTTGGATTGGAAGTTTTTACCCTACTGCAGAGTTCGAAAACTGTTTTATGTATGAGGCTTGAACAAATAAGCAGATTTTAATGATAGTATGTTTCATTTCTATTTATTTTAAGTATCAACTAGAGTGTTTATGAAACAAAGTTGTCTAGTAGTATTCATCCACTTAAGTACTATAAAAAACTCACCTATCACTGAGGACATTCCTATCGTGCCCAGGTGGCGGTAAGCTGAGCTGGTAAGGTGTATTGAAGTAGTGCTGTTGCTCATGTGAGCGGTGAACAATGCGTCCGGCTCTCACCACCATGTAGCCGCTATCGCCGATGTTGGCCGCGCGCATTATACTCTCGTTACGATCTAAGATCATAACACATGCTGTACTACTACCTGCAATAAAAATTATTTTGGGAATAAATACTTAGATTATAACTTTATAGTGCTAGGTTACATCTGCTAAACATGAGGTTAAAGTTGTTCACCAGATTTATGTGTATTTGTAGGGGTCTTAAAACAACACCATTCAGAATTTTCAAGAGGGACTTAAATTTAAATTATATTTTTCATACAGTGTTTTACATAGTGAGCTGGTATAATAAAATTATTATATGAGTGTGTACATAAAATAAAATGATTCCATAATTTTACCTAAGATTGGTTTCTTATGTTCCAATAGTTCATAATAAGATTTAGCTAAGAGGTCTCCAGGTTCTGACAATTTGAAGTGGCCCATTCGCACAAGTCTCTCACAGGTTCTCATCAGATATGAGGAAAACTCCCCTGGATCAATACCATATGCTCTCCAGCCTCCAACTCCATCTGCAACTCCTATACAAAAAAAAATAAATCATTTAACATTGCCAGTATGTTATTATAACCAGCATTGACTTTACATGAAATATAAAATTATTTCAATCATTCATATTTAAAATAATACAATTTGTCCAAACAATAAACCTCTAGTAAGCATGATTTTATTGTTATTTGTTACCAAGACTTTGTTAACATTGAATTTCTTATTATACTATGCCAAATCTATAGAAAATTATGAACCATAGGAATCAATTTGGTCCAAAATGGTACAAGTAATAACAACAACAAATTGTTTCAAGTTCTAGACAGTTTAACACATGCATGGCTTTAGTACATTTCAGTCTCAAACAATCCTAACCAGACTACTGTCAGAGTTTTCATTGCCCACACACTTGTACAAAAACATGTTTTCATAACTTTCACTTCTTTCAAACACACTTAGATATGTATAACTTGTGTAATATTACATATTATGTTTTTAATGAGATAAATTTATTAACAACACATCATATTTTATTGACATTTCTATTCCTTAACAATAGTTATTTTTTCTTCATCTTTACTTTCTATTATCAATTGAGTTGTGAATAGTATCAATGAATGAATTACTTGATAAGTAAATGATAAAGGCATTGATATTTAAAAAATCTTCAAATTAATGTAACACTTGCACACACATATAACCTACAACAAACTTAACTATACCATAAAACTATTTTTATAACTACCTTAATAAAAGAAAAAAACAGAAGATAATTAAAAACACAACAATTCATCAAGTTTATTCTAATAAATAAATTTACAATATAATTATTTCAAAATATTCACTAATGTTCACTTTCCTTTTTTATTTCAGAAAATAATAGCATCAAATATTACGATTACATTTTGACGGAGATATTCCCCGAAACGTGGTGTCCAATTCCAATTTTTAAATTTAAACTATACTTCCATACCCATAGAGTTCAAAATAATAAATATAAGGCTAGTTGAAGTAAAGAATGAATTTGTGACAAACAACCTACGTAATAACAATAAGTTATTGTTTGTTTGTATAAAACAAAATTAATTACTGTTAGATAGTTTTTGCTCACCTATGACATCAGCATTGCTAAATTGTGTAGAGAACCATGCGTCGTCTCCGAACTGGCCTTTATGGGTTCTTCCATTAGCAATATCTTTAGGAAAACCACAAACCACTGAAACTAGATACGGATGTTTCTTATTCGAAACGCTTAATTCAGCAGCACTATTTAGACTCGAGAGTCCATTTCTTATAGCACGTGATAACACTCTGCCTGTCCAGAATATGGACTGCATCATTCAATGATTTTCCTGTACTTTGCCTTCTGGCTCCATTCAAGTTACAAAAATAAATGCAATGATCCCATCCTTATGAAGAGGGAACTAAAGAAACACATGTCTAATTAATATTAACTACTAAGATAATTACGAAGTTATACAATTTCAACACTGCACTGAAACTACCATCAATCTACATGAAACACGTATCCAATGAATTGAAATGAGAAAGATTTGTGATTTCGTGAATCTTGTGACTTTTAGACTGAATGATGGAATTATTTGAACGAGTGAATGAAAATAAATTTGATGGATGGCGCTGGTGGCGCTACAGATGCTACAAAATAAGATCGATATTCGTATCGCTTATTCTTTATTCGTTTCATAAAAAAAATATAACAACAACCGTTTAAACAGATATTAAATTAAGTTTTCTAATTATTAAGTATTCGAAAAATTGAACGTCAGGGAATTTAAGACCTTAATGACAAGAAAAATGATTACTTATTTGTGTATTCTTATGATTCTTATGTAGAGGGAAGTTTTAAGTTGGACTGCGAATATTTTCAGAATGTATCGCTAACATGAAGTTACAATATTAAAATGTAATGAATGTTTTTTCGTAATTATTAGTATTTTAAAAAACTCTATTTGATCTAATGATTGCTAATGATAATTTTGGTAGTAGTTTATAGAGTAAATTTTATCAGTTTGAGTACAAAATTATCTTAAATAATAAAACATTGTAATTTGGATATCAGCTACTTATGCTAAAAAAATGCGCTTTTGTACTTTTTTAAGAATTGTTCACTCCGTGCAAGTCGGTGCTTGAAAATGTAAAATATTGATCCATAAACAAATGTTCATTCAGTTCAACTCTGACGTTTCAATTTCATAGTCATAGATAATATGGGAAGGCGTTGTAGAAGAAAGCTCAGTATTTGATTCTGAGTAATAATTTTGATTCGGCATCCTTATTATCTTTAATTAATGCCGATTTCCAAACTTTAATACAATCTCTAGATTCAGTTGGTGTTGTGCTATATATCTGAACGGAGGAATAAAGAAGGCTTAAAACTGGTGTTCGATAAATCTCTTGGCAATATGCCTGCCGTGAGGGGAGATGGTATGCGAGGGTTAGCAGTCTTTATATCAGATATAAGAAATTGTAAAAGTAAGGAAGCAGAAATAAAAAGGATTAACAAGGAGCTCGCGAACATCAGAAGCAAGTTCAAGGGTGACAAAACTCTCGATGGCTACCAGAAGAAAAAGTACGTTTGTAAGCTCTTATTTATCTTTCTCTTAGGCCATGATATCGACTTTGGTCACATGGAGGCGGTCAATCTCCTGTCTTCTAATAAATATTCAGAAAAACAGATTGGATACCTTTTCATCTCGGTCTTGGTAAATACCAATAGTGACCTCATAAAACTCATCATACAGAGCATTAAAAATGATCTCCAATCCCGCAACCCCATTCACGTCAACCTCGCCCTCCAGTGCATTGCTAATATCGGCAGTAAAGACATGGCTGAGGCTTTTGGCACAGAGATTCCTAAACTTCTTGTGTCTGGCGATACAATGGACGTCGTGAAACAGTCGGCTGCATTGTGTCTGTTGAGGTTGTTCCGCAAGTCACCAGAAATAATTCCAGGGGGTGAGTGGACTTCCAGAATTATACATTTACTGAATGATCCTCACATGGGCGTTGTCACTGCAGCCACATCCCTTATTGATGCTCTTGTTAAGAAAAATCCTGATGAGTATAAGGGGTGTGTCACTTTGGCAGTGGCCCGTTTAAGCAGGATTGTAACAGCTAGCTACACAGATTTACAAGATTATACCTACTACTTTGTACCAGCACCATGGTTATCTGTTAAGTTATTGCGCTTGCTGCAAAATTACAACCCACCATCTGAGGAGCCAGGAGTAAAGGGGCGCCTGACAGAGTGTTTGGAGACAATATTTAACAAAGCACAAGAGCCCCCCAAGTCAAAGAAAGTGCAACATTCTAATGCTAAGAATGCTGTACTGTTTGAAGCTATAAGTTTGATTATTCACAATGATAGTGAAGCTAACCTTCTAGTCCGAGCATGTAACCAGCTTGGACAGTTTCTGAGTAATAGAGAAACCAACTTGAGATACCTAGCTCTTGAATCTATGTGCCATCTTGCTACATCTGAATTCTCTCATGAAGCTGTCAAAAAGCACCAAGAAGTTGTTATTCTGTCAATGAAGATGGAAAAAGATGTATCTGTTAGACAGCAGGCTGTTGACCTACTGTATGCCATGTGTGATAAAACAAATGCTGAGGAAATTGTTCAGGAGATGTTGGCATATTTAGAAACTGCAGATTACTCTATAAGAGAAGAAATGGTCTTAAAAGTTGCCATTCTAGCAGAAAAATATGCTACAGATTTCACCTGGTATGTTGATGTAATTTTGAACTTGATCAGAATTGCTGGTGATTATGTCTCAGAAGAGGTGTGGTACAGAGTCATACAAATTGTGATAAACAGAGAAGAAGTGCAGGCATATGCTGCTAAGACTGTATTTGAAGCATTACAAGCTCCTACATGTCATGAAAATATGGTGAAGGTTGGTGGTTACATTCTTGGTGAATTTGGCAACTTGATTGCTGGTGATACTAAATCCTCCCCACAAGTACAATTTGAATTGCTCCATTCCAAGTATCACTTGTGCTCTGCAGCTACAAGAGCACTACTCTTATCAACCTATATTAAACTGGTGAACTTATTCCCTGAAATAAAGAACAGAGTACAAGAAGTATTTAAAGCTGATTCTAATTTGAGATCTGCTGATGTTGAGTTGCAGCAAAGGGCCTCTGAATATCTTCAACTAAGTATAGTGGCTAGCTCTGATGTCTTGGCTACTGTACTAGAAGAAATGCCTGCCTTCCCTGAAAGGGAATCATCTATTTTGGCAGTTTTGAAAAAGAAAAAGCCTGGACGCATACCTGATGATGTAAGGGAGTCTAAAAGCCCTCAACCTTCCATAATTCCAGCAGCAGCAATAAATTCTACAAACAACACAAATAACTCAAGTGCTGATCTCCTGGGTCTGTCCACTCCTCCTGGTACTAATTCCACCACTGGTAATGGTCTATTGGATGTCCTTGGTGATTTATACACAACACCTAAAATCAGCCCCACCACAGTTCAGCAGAATAACATTAAGAAATTCCTATTTAAAAATAATGGTGTTCTTTTTGAAAATGACCTTATTCAAATTGGAGTCAAGAGTGAGTTCAGACAAAACTTGGGAAGAATTGGACTGTTTTATGGCAATAAGACACAGT